TGATGGGATGAGGATGGGAGGCACGGTGGGATGTCACGGGGACGGGCAGCGTGCAGGGAGGAGACAGGGCTGCCAACAGTCTTCTGCAGCAGCGGGAGATGTGGCGCTGCGTTCCCGGCGCCGCTCATGCTCTGAGCACGGATTTTCCTGCTGGTGAGGGTTCAAGCAGTTAACACCAAAAGTGAGATGTAATTGATTTAGAGGAGGAGAGGTTGGCTTTTATGTGAGATGAGAGGAGCTGATGAGACATGGTACAAATAGCATTTCAAGTGGCCCTACGCTGTTTTCTCGCTCCTTTTCTCACGGAGAGGTTGGTGGTCCTATTTGCTCTTGCAGGCTGCGGGGAGCTGGAGAGCGAAGTGGAGATAATTACACATAGAAATAAAGCTACTCTGGTGTCAAGATTATCATTGTGGCCTACTTATTAAAAGTCCATTAAAAAATAAGAATCCCACTGCTCCCTGGCTGCTGGTCCCCTGGCAAAGGAGATTCCTCATAAAGCTGCTACTTATTGCGAAAAATCTCCTGCCAAGAGCGAGGGCTTTGCAGGATCCTGCTTCCAGTTTGTCAGAAAACGGAGCAGCCGCCTGCTCCAAGGCAGGATGCATGCTCCTGGGTGAATGAAAGGCACACGCATCTGATGGCTCATTATGTGTCATATTCAGGCTTCTGAGATGAAGATCTTTTCTAAAATAATCCTCTGCGTTCGGGTAGGAAAAATGCCATTTAACCCTGAAAGGGGGGAATCAATGGGAAGAGGAATGACTTCCAAGTGTGTAATTTCTCATTGAAAAAAAAAAAAAGAAAGAAAGAAAAAGTTTGCGTCATGGTAAAACGATCTGATCCAATATTCAGTGTACAGTAATAAGCATGAATTTGCATGAGCTTGTAATAAAGGCCCTCGTGCGGATGTGTTGCCTGGGGGGCTGTCGCGATGGCTCTTTGGGGTGTTTCAAAGAGCATCACTCCACGAAGGGCCCTGATTCTGTAGCGGGGGGCACCAACACTGAAGCTTGGCAATTAGTGCCTTGTGCTTCACTCTCTGGGCAAGCTGTTTGGCCGGGCAGTGGGAGCGCGGGCATTGGGCTGAAACTGTGATGGAAGAAAAGTGACTTTATTTCAACATAATTACTCTGTGTGGAGCGTGAAGCTTTTATTCCAGAATAAATCCGCTTTGATTTCGGATGAGCGTTGCCCACATGGCAGCGGAGCGGCCGCAGCATGCTGGTTACGCTTCCTGCGGCAGTGCCGTTGAATTCCTGGGGGGAGAAGCCGTGGGGTTGCCGCGTGGTGCCGGGACGGGGAGGCAGGCAGCCGTCCGGCGCGGGA